TTACCTCATTTAATCAAATTGCAGGTTCACGTAACACATAGCGACTGCACTTATTGTTCGATGCGTGTGCATGCTTTTACGGTTCGTGTGTTTGTGTACATATGGATAAATTTGTTGATGTATAATGAAAACGATAATACGTGTGTACTTTTTTCTTACTATATATCTTTGCACGTTTACGTAAGTTACGTAAAGCGCGTGTATCGGTAATTTCGATCTAATATATATATGAACGCGTATGCACAAGTGTATTATTACGTATATTGTATATGCATACACGTGCTGTTGTTGGTGTTTCCATATAATAGCTAGTCCATGCGAATCAATGAAGCATCAACCATCGCATACACAAGTACTCATGCATATATACAGACAATATTTCATGCATCATATGTACGCACGAAATCGGCACGTATACTATTTTTATCTCACTGTCATTGTTATTATTTGAAAAAAAAAAAAAAAAAAAAAAAAAAAAAAAAAAAAAAAAAAAAAAAAAAAAAAAAAAAAAAAAAAAAAAAAAAAAAGACACAAAATCTATAAACTCATTAGGTACTCTCTTGCGCGTTTGCACCCGCCACGTCTCAGCTTCCAAAGCTGCAAAATTATCCAAGACCCATAGTCGAGTCACGCGGCCGATATCCATCATCATCCTTTGCTCGAGCATATGTATACTTACGCGCGGTAACTCACCCCCTATTCGACTTTTTTTTTTTTTTTTTTTCTTCCTTCCAATAGACTTTCGATCGCTCTGCATATACATACATACGTACATCAACCACCTACGAACATCAGTATTCCCGATAACGGGCCGATGCTAATTTCCCATCTCCGATGGGTTGTTCTTTTTTCCCCTCCATCTTTCATTTTTAGCGGACGATGAGATTTCTCCCGTACGTGGATAGACTGGCTGTTTATCAAATCCCTGCACGGACGAACTATTTTTTTTTTTAGTCCACGGCCATACATTATACACGCGGTGGGGCTGGGCTCGTCCCGATCGACTTCATTCATCAGAGAAAGGGTGCGGAGGCGGAGATGATGATCATTTTCGGGCATTACGGGCGCATACACGCGTGCTGGAAAGACGAATGGATCTCTCGTTGATCGGACGATGCTACTGATGCCACTTGCGGCGGTACACACGAGACGATTGATCATCGTTGCGCCGCTCGTTCGGGAGGATTATTTTTAAAGATCAAGATGAAGAACGTTTTTGTTGTTGTGCATAAAGTTGACCAACGCTCCTCTGCAGGTATAATATGATGTATTTATCTTGGGGTGTATAGATCGATTTCGGGGTGCTTATTGTAAACGCCGACTGCCGATTTCACGGGGATCGGTAATAGCAGTGGTGGCCGTTTTTTTTTTTTCCACCCATCCATTCTTTTACCGATATCCGATCCAAAGCCCGAGAAGAAACAATTAAAAAGCTCATTTGGCGTTTCGGCGAATCGAGTGTACATCGTGGTATTAAGATCGTATGCTGATTATGCGAGAATTCCATGCTTCTCGCGCATTCGATCGATAATCGTCTCTGTGAAAAAGAAAAAAAAAAAAAAAAAAAGAAAGTAGGGAGAATCGATTTGGTATAAATGTTAGTTGGCTGGAGACATTTGTTTCGGCTGTACGTCGCACTAATGTTTATAATTAAAATGCCGTTATGGAGGGAAAATACGCGACACCAAGACTCAGGCTCGTGCCGAGGAGTTCCAACCCTGCCGAGTTACTCGAACGGAGAAAGCTTTACTTGCCAAACTTCCGCCGAACCTCAAGGTTTGCTTGTTCATAGAGACGAAAAAAAAAAAAAAAAAAAAAATCATTCAATGGCTTTATCTCCGTAATTTGTTGCATTTGGTATAGGTGTGGAAGCCGGTGTAGATATATATTGTAGTACAAAACGAACACACGTGAGAAAAAAAATAATGTAAGATTCTCGAAAGTTATACACGCAAGTAAAACCTACAAGCACAAGTTAGGACGGGAGCATAATATAGGTATACGTAGTGAATACACCGGGTGTCCGCGTGTACTCCTTGCCGTCTATATAGTCTGCTCCGTCAAGCTGTATCTACTACGGGGGGGGGGGTGGCGACGGAGGGGGAGGGGAGTTTACGCGTTCACGGAGGGGAACTGCTGACGTCCGAGGCGATCCGGGGCTATATAATATACCCTCCCACCTTCCTTTGCACACACACACACACACACATAGTCCATCGGGGAGCCTCCTGCAGGGAACATTCGCGTGTACTCTGGATGAAGCTATAGGGGTGGTCGTCTGTGCGCCGGCAACGTGCCCCACACACACACTAACGCGTGTATATGCCGTATATTTATATACACGCTAGGTACACAGAGATACGGATATTACGAATATCCCGCATCGCAACCATGAATGAACTCGCGCGTCGTATCGATTTATCCGCAACGCCCTACTTATATAGGAGGCGCTTCGGTAATATATATCATACTCGCGCATACATTTATGTATAATCGTACATACACGCGAATCTGTATGTATATGTATACACGTATATAGGGGTGGGTTATACATACAATTATGTAAAAAAATAGTGCTTTTTCCGCCTCTTTCATCCCTAACCCCTACGCAATGAGAAGCTTTGAATAGGACTAGTAGCAACTGCTGATTTCTCGTGGTATTTTTACTCATCAGTCCAACGATACAGGGGATTATATTATACATGTACCTATACTTTACTGTACTGTACCTAACTGCAGAGGAGGTGAAGAGAAAAAAAAAGTTTTTCGGTTTGTATACATTATGAATTTGAACGACATTACAATGATATGCAATAATCAAGCAGTCAACGACACACTGACCGACGTACCTAATATTGCTTAGCACCTCTTCAACTTTACGTATTTTTCTCCCTATATACCGTTGGTATGGGTATACGCATGTATATATATATATTTACTGCTACTGCATTCCACCAGTCAACCCCTTCTATGCTATATACACGTACAGTCGATGCACCCTTCCCAGCAGTACTATACGTATATACGTACACCCCTCCCCCCCCCCGGTGCTGCAGGTTTGACCCATGGCTTTTTCTCACCTCCCACTCGTCCCATGTGCCCACTGTGTACCTCATACCGATGACTCTCGCGGGAATAACCTGGCAGGGAGTTTTCGAGTGAACTCTGACCTATACGGTGATGATCATCAACCCCCTGTTTTAATTTTAAAACCATACTAACGTCTTGCTCATTTTATTGCTTTTTGTTTCTATACCCTACATTACAAATTATATGTTGCACGGAGAATGGAGAATATATATATATACATTGGTATATGTATGGTAATGACACAGGGGGTGCAAACAAGCGGGAATACAAAGTTGATTGGAAAAGGAAAAGAAAAAAAAAAAAGGAGGAAAAGCACGGGGGACAAGGATGATACGTTTTATTCCAACTTTTTCAAATCAACCGGTCTCTGCTTTTAGATTTTCATGAATACATTTTGTACAAATTGTAGAATATGATATACGGGGAAAACAACGTTTGATTATCTACTGGCTATTTTTTTTTTTTTTTTTTTTACTACTTTTGAGAGAATAGCTGCTTCACGGAGGTGCTTACTGTGTTTGAGTACTAAAAAAAAAAAAAAAAAAAATCATTACGTGCACAACCTTAGAGTACAAGCGTACGGTAAAATCATATCTTGTTCCATATGTGACTAAAAATTTATAAGAGCAATACAGTTACGGCGTCAGTTGAATAAACTTAATCTGGAGCACAATGAAATTTGTTAACATTGTGAAAAAAATTTTTAAGAAAAGATACATTAAAAAGGCATAACAATAGATTCCATAAGAAAGTAAATACTAAAATTTTATATCATGTGAATAATTGTCAATCATTATAGTAATATTTGATATAAAATTTTCTTACATCT